GCGTGGAAGAAGCCTACCAATTTGGGTGGTCATCGGATAATATTTAGAGGGTAAAATAGACCATATCTTTGGTGTTGAAAAAAATTTCATTAAACCGCGAATATTTTAAATCCCGGCGAAGTCACGAAGCCATGACAAGGTTACTTCTGATCTTTACACTGATGTTAACATCCAAAAAATCGGATATATAGCAAAATATGTGCGATATATATGTCTATCAAAGAAGATATGCTTGAAAGATCTCTTATATGTCGAGAACGGCTGAACTGATTTCGACAGTTCTCATTAATTCAGAATGGCCTCTTGGCAGGAAAGAAACAACGTCTAAAAAATCGCATAAAAATATCTCTCTAAAGATGAAAATATTGATTTTGTAACATTTTCTCATATTTTTCAATTTTGTCTTATTTTTTGGCATATTTTCATTTTGAATTAAACATTTGGTAATATTTCTACAGCTAACAAAACTAAGTAGTTAGGATATCAGGATATCATATACAGATCGCATTATGGCACGATCCTTACGAAATTTTGCATGGGGATAAGGTGAGGGTCAGAATAGAAGCCTACTCTTTTTGGAGATGATCGCCATATATTTAGGGGTTGAAATGGACCGAAAAACTACAAAATTGTCAGCAGGTCATAATTATCGCCCGATCCTCACGCACATTTGGATGGGGGTTACCGGACATTGCAAAAGCCAAGCAGTTTTGGATGGCCATCCAAAAATATTCAATGTGTGAAATAGTTTGCCATCTTTTGTAGACAAAATACGAAAATGTCCATTCCAGTGACTTTTTGGAGAATTCACAAATACAGGAAAGACGCACTTCTGGCTATTTCGTTAACGCTGATTTCGTGGAAGAATATAGTCAAATGTCTGTATCTCATATAGATGCGTTTCAGTCAAAAACCAATAATAAATGCTAATCTTTTGCCACTTCTGAGATTATAGGTCTTTAGGAAATATTGGTTCCAGATCTAGGAAGACCATTTAAGTGCAACATCTTCCAATAAATTGGAAATGAGCAAATTAGTTTAAGTTGCTATTATTCGAAAATTAGAGAACGAAACCTGATGGTTTTCTTTTATTATTTGTCACAATATCTTGTGGAATTCTTTCGAGTATCTCGCCTATATAAACTGTATCGTTTATTATAGTATTGTAGGGTATTCAACGATCGGCCCCGCTCGACTTTAGCCTTTGCTTACTTGTCTCAAATCAGTCTTTTGTCTGCAGGCAGGTCAAGTTCGAAGATGGGCTACATCGGTCCACGATATCGTATAGCCACCATATAACGGTATACCCTATATTCCGTATTTTGATATTTTTAGCCAAATTTTTCAATGGAATTGCCTGAAATTCCATACTAACAGTTCATTCTGATTACTTTGCCCCACCCTGGAAGAGTATTGTATCTATAGGTCGTCGATATTGTATATCCCTCATATAACGGTAGCTCCCTATATTCGGTAATTTGATTATTTTAGCTAAATTTTTTAATGGAATTGTCTAAAAATCCATACTAGAAGTTCTCTCTAGGCACTTTACCCCCTGGAAGAGAAACAAACGCCTATATAGGTCTACGATATCGTATAGCCCACATACAACGGGACATTTAGGGACATTATTCACCGAACTTGTTTGTATTTAGAATTCATAACAGGTACTGCAGCCTATGACAAAATATTGCGAATGCAGGCGCATATATTCATATAGCCTCCATATAACGTTGGCTCCCAAAATTCGGTATTTTGGATGATTTTAGCGTCATTATTCACCGAAGTAGTTCAAATTACGTATTTAGAGTTCGTAATGGGAACTACGGTCTGTGACAGAAAATTGCCTATGCAGGCCGAGGTCTTCGTATAGACCCCATATATCAGTACCTCCCTATGTTCGGTATTTTGATGATCTTAGGTACAATACTCACCGAAATTGTCTGAGATGTTGTATTTGATGTTCCTAATAGCTACTACAGCCTGTGACATAAAATTGTCTATGCAGGTCCCGGTCTTCGTATAGCCCCCATATAACGGCACCTCCCGAGATTCGGTATTTTGATGATTTTAGTTACATTATTCAACGTTTTTTTTTTGAGGTTTCGTATTAGAATATGATAATGGCTTATGACAAGCAATGTCTATGTAGGTCAACGTCTTCGTATAGACCCTATATTCTATATTCGGTATTTTTTAAATTTTAACAGAATTTTTAATAGATTTATTTATTTATTTTAATTTTTTTTTTTTGAAAATGTCCAAATTAGTTCCAAATGGTGGAGGGTATTCAAAGTTCGTCCCGGCAGAACTTACTTACAAGCAATGTCTATGTAGGTCAACGTCTTCGTATAGACCCTATATTCTGTATTTTTTTAAATTTTAACATAATTTTTAATAGATTTATTTATTTATTTATTTATTTATTTTTTTTTTTTTTTGAAAAATTCCAAATTAGTTCCAAATGGTGGAGGGTATTCAAAGTTCGTCCCGGCAGAACTTACTACTTTTTTCTTGTTTAGTAGTAACACAGAACTTTTAGTTTACTGACAATACAGAGGACATTAATTTTCATTACTAAAGTACTACACAAATATTGCGATGTCTAGGACCAAATATTAACGGACACTTTGTCTATGGCCATTAAGCCTCTTCTACCGATGTAAAACGATCACCATTTTTTGAACGTTTCCTATAACAGACTGAATAAAGAGCAGTTAAAATTTTCAAATTTTTGAAATGTCCATGGGATTTTTATTTATTCAGGATGACTTCTGAGAGAGGAAAAGAAATTTTATGGCTGTGGTCCGATAGTCTACCATATAAATATTGTAATGTGCTAACTTCAAAGAGAACTGCGAGTGAGCCATCTGATGGAGTAGATCGACATATTACAGCTTCATGCGAGATCTAACAGGAATATTTTGAAAAAATCGGACTCTAAATACATTTTTCATGAGAGTTCTTCATATTCTAGATGTAGGTAGATAAATCAGTGGCCAATTATTTCCATAAACACTCTTGATCAGAATTTGATATAAATATGGACCAAGTCGTCCGCGAAAAATCCACCATAATCTAATAAATGAAAATTTTTAAGATGTGCTAAAATTAATAAAAAGAACTAGAGTTTTTGTTATTCAACATTTGGACCATATGTTGGGGAGGTACAAGAAGGTGTGAACCAATATTTCCCATTTTAGCATCTGATCAAATTATTTTCGAAGCAGTTCGATGTTCTACTTTTGATCTCTAATCGCTCAAATTGTATTTTTGCGAAATTTTTACCTTTTTGTGGGGAAGATATCAGAAGGAGGTCACCGATATTTGCATCTCGAAACTCTATCTAGGTTGGGTAAATATACTGCGATGTACCTAGTTATGATGAAATAGCATCCGGTTTTGAGAGTTATCGTGAACCCGAAGCGGCCACACAGATGTACAAGGTTATATCGACTCCAAATGTCCTAACAAGGATTTTGTCTAAAGAGAACTGGGGTCTAAACCCGTTATTTCGAGTTGGCAAAATGCAAACATGATATTTGATACAATCAAAAGTTTATTTAGTCAGCGAATTAACATTTTTATACCCTCCACCATACTATGGAGGGTATATTAATTTTGTCATTCCGTTTGTAACTCCTCGAAATACTCATGTCAGACACAACAAAGTATATATATTCTGTCTGTTTTAATCACGCTATCTTTCGAAAAAATTGAGATAGAAAAATTTTGCACACATGTATATTTTGCCAGTAGGCAGGTTAAGTTCGTAAATGGGCCATGTAGATCCAAGTTATCATATAGCCCCCATATAACGGTACCTCCCGATATTCGGTATTTTGATAATTTTAGCGGCATTATTCCCCGGAATTGTTTCGAATTTGGCATTTGAAGTTCGTGATGGATACTACAGCCTGAGACAGAAAATTATCTGTGCAGGTCCACGTCTTCGTATAGCCCCCATATAACGTTACCCCCCGATATTCGGTATTTTGATGATTTTAGCGACACTATTTACCGGAATCGTTTCAAATTTGGTATTTGAAGTTCGTAATGGATAGTACATCCTAAGTCAAAAAATGAGTCATGTTGGTCCACGTCTTCATATAGCCCCCATATAATGGTACCTCCCGATATTCGGTATTTTGATGATTTTAGCGACACTATTTACCGGAATCGTTTCAAATTTGGTATTTGAAGTTCGTAATGGATACTACATCCTAAGTCAAAAAATGAGCCATGTTGGTCCACGTCTTCATATAGCCCCCATATAACGGTACCTCCCGATATTCGGTATTTTGATGATTTTAGCGACATTATTCACGGGAATTGTTTCGAATTTGGCATTTGAAGTTCGTAATGGATACTACAGCCTAAGACAGAATATTATCTGTGCAGGTCCACGTCTTCATATAGCCCCCATATAACGGTACCCCCCGATATTCGGTATTTGGATAATTTTAGCGACATTATTTATCGGAATTATTTCAAATTTCGCACGTGAAGTTCGTAATGGATACTTCATGCCATGCCAGAAAATTGTCTGTGCAGGTCCACGTTTTCGTATAGCCCCCATATAACGGTACCTGTCGAAATTCGGTATTTTGATGATTTTAGCTACGTTATAAACAGATTTTTCTTCAAGTTTTGCATTTAAATATTGTAATAACTTATGACAAAAGTTGCCCATGCAGGTCCAAGTCGTCCTATAGACATTCGGTATTTTTAAGATTTTAACAGAATTTTTAACGGATTTTTTTTTTTTTTGAAATTGCCAAACGTGTGCCAAATAGTGGAGGGTATTAAAAGTTTGGTCCGGCCGAACTTACAGTTTTTTTATTTGTTGTAATTCGATTTGTAAAATAGAATATCTTCCATGAACCCTATATCTCATCCGTTGTTAATGCTCCTTCAAAATATACTCAGCTCCCTCAAGGTAGGGTATATATTAACGCTAATTCTATTGTAAATAAAAGAAATACATTTTTTATACGCACCCAAGTTGTCACTGGACTGTTGACAGTATTGTCTTCTTTTTGTTGTTGTTGTTGTTTTTTATGATTTGCTCCTGATGCGATTACAAAAACATTGAGCACCTCATAAAACTGTTGCTGATAAACTGTTGCTGCTAATTGACTGACTGGCTAACAATGATGATTGACGAACGTTGCAACAGAAAAACGGACACAAGTGAATTAATTGAAGAAGTTTTTCGTTTTTTTTTTTTTTTTGCACAACAACAACCACAGCACACACGTCACATACAACAATGTTCAGGCAAATAGTCGTCGACAAAATGTCAGACGTGGAGACGTTAACCTGTCATATATCACTCATGCAACGAACGATACGCTTAGAACAACACTGACACTGGCAATGCCGATGATGACTTTTTTCCAGAGAACTATTTGAAAATTTCACAACACTAGAGAAAAAAAAAACGAAACTGATTTCAATACTGAAATTATTGTTTTTTTTTTCTTTTTCAATATAGATTCAGATTTTCGTGGAAATTGTCTGGTGGCTATGTGGGCCAATAACCTGACAAAATATTTCCTTTTTGTTTTCTTTTCGATTTTTCGGATTGCAATTTAAATTTGATTTGTATTCAAATACATCACTTTTAACACTGAATGAGCATAAAATTTGAATTTTTATAGGTTTTCAGTATTGCTCTTATTTTTCGTTTTGTGTTTTGTTTTTATTATTTTTTTGACGCTTGCACAAAACAAAAGCGAACGCAATAAATTTTTTAGCACTATTTTTTATATTTCAATTTTCAATTTCCTTAATTCTTGTGGGCATTTTTTCATTCATCTACTCCCCTCTTTCAAATGCCGGCAGATGATTCCAAAACGACAACTATTTTATTGTTGTTTTTTTTTTCTTTTAATATGCGCTCGATGAAGCGTAAAACAGAACCAGCCGCCACCAACCGTCTAACAAAAATCATAAAACACCACTCGGCCGGACTAAATGACACAAAGACACCTCAGATGTCAAGCTTCTTTGAATTTTATGATTTTCCTATTTTTTACCAAAAACCAAAAAATTGTTAAAAATAAAACGTTTTAATTTTTCGTACAAAACTTTAATTCATTTTAAGTTTTCAACTCAAATATTCCACAGGGTGCCCGTAACGCTAGCTAGACGAACGTGTCAAATGAATTCTTGCGTTCAGCGATCGTAAACAACCGTCACCGTTCAGCGTCTTCAGTAAACTGATCGCGAATGTGTTTGGCCAGTCGTGGGGCTGTTTGAAACGACCAAATGTTGGAATCGTTCCGCTACACTCATGCATCCCAAAGTGCTCTCGCCACACTCGCTCCCATATGTGGAGCGAGTAGCCAAACAACCAAATAAACACACATGGGGTGCACTAACATGGCATAAACATGCAAAGGTGGAAATAGAGTCTACATTACCCCCACGATAGGATCCACATGAAGCAGATCAGGGCACAGTGTTTGGAAACATAATGTTAACAGCTAAATGAAAGAAGAGGTAGTAATCAAAAAAACTTAAGTTCTAAAATAAAAAAAAAACACCGGTAGGGCTTTTAGTAGGGGTCCAGTTCATATTCTTAAAGAAGACCAGCAGGACTTCTTACAGATCTACCACTTGGTGTTCTCAGAAAACAGCAGTTTGTATTATCATAGAAGAGCAATTGGCCTTCTCAGAGAAGAGCACTTGGTCTTCTCAGAGAAGAGAAGTTGGTTTTCTCAGAGAAGAGAATTTGGTCTTCCCAGAGAAGAGCAGTTGGTTTTCTCAAAGAAGAGCAGTTGATCTTCTCAGAGAAGAGCAGTTGTTCTTCTCAGAGAAGAGCAGTTGTTCTTCTCAGAGAAGAGCAGTTGTTCTTCTCAGAGAAGAGCAGTTGATCTTCTCAGAGAAGAGCAGTTGGTCCTCTCAGAGAAGAGCAGTTGGTCCTCTCAGAGAAGAGCTGTTGATCTTCTCAGAGAAGAGCTGTTGATCTTCTCAGAGAAGAGCTGTTGGTCTTCTCAGAGAAGAGCTGTTGATCTTCTCAGAGAAGAGCTGTTGATCTTCTCAGAGAAGAGCAGTTGATCTTCTCAGAGAAGAGCAGTTGATCTTCTCAGAGAAGAGCAGTTGATCTTCTCAGAGAAGAGCAGTTGATCTTCTCAGAGAAGAGCAGTTGATCTTCTCAGAGAAGAGCAATTGATCTTCTCAGAGAATTGCAGTTGGTCTTCTCAGAGAAGAGCAGTTGATCTTCTCAGAGAAGAGCAGTTGATCTCAGAGAAGAGCAGTTGGTCCTCTCAGAGAAGAGCAGTTGATCTTCTCATAGAAGAGCAGTTGATCTTCTCATAGAAGAGCAGTAGATCTTCTCAGAGAAGAGCAGTTGATCTTCTCAGAGAAGAGCAGTTGATCTTCTTAGAGAAGAGCAGTTGATCTTCTCAGAGAAGAGCTGTTGATCTCCTCAGTGAAGAGCAGATGATATTCTCAGTGAAGAGCAGATGATATTCTCAGAGAAGAGCTGTTGATCTTCTCAAAGAAGAGCTGTTGAATTTCTCAAAGAAGAGCTGTTGATCTTCTCAGAGAAGAGCTCTGAGTCATAGAAGAGCACTTGTTCCTCTCATAGAAGAGCTGTTGATCTTGTAAAGAATATAATTTCACCTTCTTAAAAAAGATCAGTTGATCTTCGCAGAGAAAGGCAGTTGGTCTTCTAATACAAGACCAATAGGTCATAGAACACCACTTGATATTTTCGTAGAAGACCAACAGTCTTCTTTGGGAAGATTTAATACGACCAAAAAGTTGTCATGGACGAAACTCGTTTAAAGACATTTTGAATCGACGTAGTCATGCCCGTCCTTCTGTCTGTATCGTAACATATTTAACAAACTTATATAGAATTCGGAGTAATATATAGAATTATGTCATCTCCCACAAAAGTTCAAACAATTTCCAAAAAGACCTCAACATCTCATATTGAGATTGGGGGTACCCCATGGTAACACTTCGATAAGGCATATGACGGGGACGAAAATTGCCCATATTTATGCACTCATACTTCGCTTATCCACACAAAATGTCAAAATAACTCTCTTAAAATGGGAAATCCAAATTCTTGAGAATTGGTCCTGTGGTAACATTTATACCAAACTTAGGCCATGAGCGATCATGGAAAATATTGTGCCACTACTTCTCCTTCCTCCCCCCTATACTCTAAAAAAGGAATACATAAACATGCGGTCAAATTTTGAGGATATTTATTTGTGGAAACACCAACTGGAACTTTCTAACTTGTTATAAAAGGTTTTATCCCTTTTTTAGCCAAAATCTATATTGTTGGAATTCAATCGATAGACAATCTGTTCTCAAAAAAATAATTTTTGGAATTTTATTTTAATAGATTTTTTTCATTCGATTCTATAAATTAAGGACAAATCAAACTATCATATCCATCGATTTCCGTTGCATAGATAGCTACTCAATTGTGTTGTCAATGACAATATTGAGGCACTTTGAAATGGATAAACCATCTGTCACAAATCCAAAACAAATACAGTTTCAAAATATCCCCAATCAATCTCAGATTTATTTCTTAATCCAATAAATATTTGATTTTTGATTGTTCAAAAACACTGTCTAATTGAGAACAGATATCATGTATGAGAATGACTCTTCATTACCGTGTGTGTTTGTGCGCTGTAACCACACAACACTTGAACTCTTCTCTACTTTTATTGAATTATCTACTCTCTGCACCACAACAAACATATCTCTTGCACCTATCCCTTGGGATCTCAAGCAGACACTGAGCTTCATATAAAGGGGGATTTTGGTTTGTTTTGATTTGTTGTTTTCCATTTTCAAGAGGTGTGTGTGTGTGTGCAATAAATCAAAAAGGAATTAAAAGAGTAAAATTTTCAGATATGTTGCAAAGAGAATTTAAGAGCAACATGTTGGAAACGAAACAATATGAGATGTGGTGAGAAAGTAGAAGAAAATACATTCATTTAATTTACTTTTAATTCTTTTTGAATTTTTACTTATTTAAATGTATTATATTTTTCTTTGCAGTATCCAATTAAATTTGTACGAACGTTTATTCCATTTGGGTAAGTCATAGTTTTTACATATCTAGTTATGTTATATTAATAAGTTATTTAATTGGAAGAACGAAAAGAAAACGGGAGAAATTAATACACTTAAACTATATCTTTATATGGCGATAATACCGAACGTAGAGGGATCTATAGAGGCAATATTGATATCAAAAGGCGTCAAAATAGTTTTAAGTTCCTAAGGAATAGGTTTTATGTAAAATAAGACACATTTACAAAAAAACCAGTAAAGAAAGTCCTAAAGTCGGGCGGGGACGACTTTATGATACCCTACACCACTTTGCTAATTTAGTACAGGTCCACATAACAAGTTTTTATGGGAGAATTCAATCATACACGCTATGATTATAATTTAAAGTTCAAAGGACAAAATATGCCGAAGCAGTTGTATCTTTAAATTCGAACTTGTATTGCCCATTTGGTGCAAAAGTAATTTGAAATCAGATAAAGATATATGTGGGAGCTATATCCAAATCTGAACCGATCTCGATAAAATTTGGCAAAGATATTTCTGAGCTGTATTTGATATATTTCCCTGAATATCGTTGTTACGGAGTGCATATTACGGCTGTGGGTAACAAATACAAAAAATCGGATGAACAACATATATGGGAGCTATAGCTATATCTGAACCGATCTTCACCAAATTTGACACATTACCTTCTAAACTCAATTCGGTCGTATGTGCCAAATTTCATCCAATTTGGGAAAATATTAGACGTTTGGTGCACAATAAAAGGTAAATCGGACGAAGTTATATATGGGAGCTATATCCAAATCTGAACCGATCTCGATAAAATTTAGCAAAGGTATTTCTGAGCTGCATTTGACATATTTCCCCAAATATTGTTGTTAAAGAGTGCATATTACGGCTGCGGAGGACAAAAATAACAAATCGGATGAACAATATATATGGGAGCTATAGCTATATCTGAACCGATTTCGATCAAATTTGGCATACTTATTTTCAGGCCTAATTTGGTTGTACGTACAAAATTCCATACTATTCGGGCTGATATTACACGTTTGGTGCACAATAAAAGGCAAATCGGACGAAGATATATATGGGAGCTATATCTAAATTTTTACCGATTATCTCCAATTTCAATAGAGTTCGTCCTTGGGCCAAACAAATGTTGTTTGGAAAATTTCATCTCAATAGGTTATAAATGCGATCTGCATTTTGTTCACAAGAAAGGAAGGACAGATGGACTGTCATGTATAAATCAACTCAGAAAGTGATTCTATGGAGATCCTCAACAGTAACTATGGGTCTATCTCGCTTCCTTCGCCATGTTACAAACAAATGCATAAAGACATAATACCCTTACCACTTTGTGGTGTAGGGTATAAAAAAAGCGGATGACACGATTACACCGTGGTTAACCCGTTTCAAACTGAAATATTTTGCAAAATGTTTACAAAACACCTAAAATTCAGGGCTTAAGACCATTTTCCTTTAGTTTCTTTAGACGAAGTGTGAGTCGCTAAAAATGACTTGATGAATTGGATTACCAACACATTTCTTAACAAGGACATGTCGCAAAAAAAAATTTTGTTCATTCCTGGCTAAGTCCAAAAATTACTACTTATTTATTATACAGGGTGAGATAAAAACAAAACTGCAACAAAGTCAAAAGCTATAATTTTTCATTGTTTTTAAATTTTATTGAATGAAAACAAAAAAATGTGGGAAAAAGCATCAAATTTTAGAATAAGTTTAGATTTGTTCGAATTGGTCACCTTTGGCACGAATTATGGCCTTCAAACGGCCAATGAAACCGTCACACGCAGCCCGATTGTTGCTCTACGGTATTTTGGTCCAATCCCGGCGAAGCGCTTGCTTGAGGTGATCGACACTTTGGTATTTTTTAGTGCCAACCTTGCTTTCCAAAATACTCCGGACACAATAGTCAAACGGATTGGTATTCGGAGATTAAGGTGGCCATCGTACGCTGGAAATGAAACGAGGAACCTCATTTTTTCACCATTTTTGGGTGGCGCGTGCTGAGTGCGATGGTGCTGAGTCCTGTTGGAATGTCCAAGGTCTGCGGCCAAAATGTTTGCGTGCCCAAGGCTTTAATACTCCCTCCAGAATATTTTCGCGATAAACTTCGGCATT